ATATATATATATATATATATATAGTTTTTTGTAGTAGTCAGCTTCTGTAATTTTACAAAATCATTTAGTGAACATGTCAAATATGATTCCCACTTGTGCTTTCTTAGTCACTTTGGTAAAAAAAAAAAAAAAAAAAAAAAAAACTTTTTAAATTGTGGAAAGTTGAGTTAATGTCACGTTCATGATTATTTTTGCCAGAAATACTGTGTGTTTATTCTTTGGGGCTTTCATATTTGGTGATTTTTATTGAATATTTATGTTGTTTGCAGAACCTAAAATAATCTTTCCAGTTGGGTTAAAGTTCCTGAGTTTAAAGCTGTCCTCATATCATAAATTTATACTTTTTCTGGTTTATTTCGAATGTTTTAAGACTCGTTTTTTCCTTCCTTTCACGTCCAATGAAGCTGCGCGCGCATGTTGATTGTTTACGACCCGAAGCTTAGCATTGGCTAACTAGCACCTGCTAACTAGCATCAGCTAACTACGATAACTGAACAAAATAACGCTGTACAATATATATCAGGGCGACACGGACCGGAAGCCGTTCATATTCCGGCAGGTACTATATACAACACAAGCCGCTTATTGAAGAGAAAAAGCAAGCATTTACGTCACCTTCTCTGATACTAGCTCTAAAAGCGGCATCAGATCCAGGATGCATTCCGCCTTTCTATTCTGATTGGTCAAGGCCTTAACAACCGCCCGCCTTTAGGCGAATCTGACCAATCACGGAGCAGCACCGATCTTTTTTTTTTTTTTTTTTCCAGCAGCAAGTCGAGTTGGGCTGATTACAGGGTGAGTTTTTCGTCAAAGTTTATTTCCACTTCTTTAAAATCTGCAATTATTCATTGGCAAATTAAATATAACGGCCTGTCTGCGAAATCGGCTTTACGTGGCTTAAGTTAGCTGAGTTTGTTCCAGTTAAAGTGCTGCTAACAGTAGCTGTTGCTCCTCGGCGCTAACTCATGGTCCTGCGGGGAGGCATTCCAGCAGAACAGCGGTACAGTTCAGTCTGTTGTTTAATTATCCTGGTTTAAACATCTTAATGACATTTTCATCTTTCGTGTAAGTGAATGAGAAAATAAAATTAAGTTCCAAATGTTGGAAAGAGGAATAGCTCTAAAAACAAGAATTGAGTTTTTGTAATTTTCCAGGCTTGGATTTTACACAAGCGAAAAGTATGGAGCCCCGTAAGTAAATGGTAAATGGACTGAACTTATATAGGTGACCAAATTTCCAAGACTAAATCTGGGGACATTTCTCACTCGGCGTTATAGAAGGAGCACATTTATCAAACTAAAATGAAGAAACTGGGAGAGATAAGTTTACATATTTATTAACATTTAAACATTAAAAATCAAATATAAAAGCAGGAACGTGTCTCTTCACACAGTGGTAATATTACTATTAATAATAATAAAAGTAATAGCAGCAATAGAAAATTAAAACTGGAAATATGGGGAGAAATTTTGTACATATTTCGTAAGTGAGCATGCATACACATGAATAACATAGTTGGTACCTCTGTTAATGAACAAAAGGCCCACAGTGGTAACAGAAATAACTTGAAACTGACAAAACTAGTAAAAAATTGTTTACTAACAAATTAATGAAAGTCAGACACTGCTTTTAAATTGTCTCAGTTAAAATAATGGTAGCTAAAACTTATTAGCATTTTTGTGTCTGTGACCATAGAGCTGATGCACCTTTTGTCTCATCTGTCTAAAGGCCTTTGTAGTAAATTCCAGCTTCACTTTTTAATGATTTTCTTTCCTCCTTGGTCTCACATGAAGTCCGTCTTGACCTTGGAGTTCACCTTTACTTTCTGGACTTGGTTGTTCTGGACTTTTAGTGACCATCTTGAATTTGTCCATTTTCTTCGTGCGGACGCAGCCAGGCAGATTGGCTCCAGTCCTGTGGACCTTAAGTTTCAGAATAATCTGTGCAACTGTAGTCATCTTGGTGTGTCATTTTATTATTCTGTTGAACCTTAATTAAAAACAGTGTCTGATTTTTATTGGTTAATTTTCAGTAAATTTTGATTTATTACTTTAGTCAGTTTCAGGTTGTTTCAGTGACCATTGTGGTTTTTTTACTCATTAACTAAAGGTACCAACAACTTTGGCCACAATTGAATGTTGTGCATGAATGGACACATAAGTGTCCATAAATACATGAGGTCTGTATATAAAGTTATGTAGCTGATATGCAAGGACATTGTGTGTGTTTGAGATGAGTGAACTCTGGTCAGGAAGCTGATCTTTGGATCTGCAAACCCTCCTCGGTCTGAAGATCCATCAGCCACATGATCATAGAGGTCTGGATAGAACAAGAGCAGAAAAGATTCTGTGAAAAACTGAGAAACACTTAAAATACAACATATAAGACACAATTAAATAATAATATGTTTACATTTCTTCTCTTCAGCTTTGTCAGTTTTCTTCATTCTTTCAGTTTATCAGACTATCTTCCTCCCGTCTCATCTTTTATCAGTCTGCCACTATTCTCAGAGACATAATATCATCACAATCTCCTCAAAACATTAGAATGTTTATAACATACTGAAAATGTACAATTTAATAAACAAAATTAGATTTGTTTTCTTTTAGAAATTGGTTATTTTGAGATGAGGAGCTGGATTCATCCTAGTAAAATCTTAGTATAAATATTAACCTTTTTCATCAGCTGATGAAATGTTAAAAATGCCATATTTAGCAAAAAAAAGAGCTAAACGAACAGAAGAAACTATCTCTCCATCCTCAGCACTTTCAGTCCATGTTCTTCTTAATTCAGTTTTCCTGTCATTGAGTGACTCCATGTATTGTGAGAAACTTCAATACGCCCAAACTCATATCTATCTTTGAAAATACAACCCCATGATTACCAGTTAATTCCAAAACATATTTATTTACAATGAGTTTATTTTAACCATCCAGTTACTATTTCTCTCACTCTGACTAATTCTGTAGCTGCTCATTGTGCTCTCATCTTGTGTTTGTTAAGAAAAGCTTAGTTTTATTTTACCGTGAACCAAAGGTTTATGATGGCAACGATTAGCCCAGTTCAAACAAAACATGTTGATTCACATATAGCGCATCAGGTCAGCTCCACAGCACGCTCTGCTCTTCTTGATTTTTATTGGCGGTTGGCTCAGCTGTATGGAGCTAAAACTGTCTCATAATTCACAAATGCAAAAGATCCACAAATGCACAGGACGAGATCCACACTTACGAGCTCCTTCTGCTGGAGCTCATTAATTCAGACTCTTCAAAGAGTTATTGTAGATGGTGATGACTGTTGGCAGGAAAGATCTCTGGTGCAGTCTGTATTACAGCGAATCTGAAGAAGCCTCTGACTGAAGACACTCTGTTTACTCAGTCTTATGAGGGCTCAGGGTTGTCTGTAACCGTCTTCAGTTTATGAAGAATCATTCTTCTCACCATTATCTCCAGAACAGAACCAGCCTTCTCTATCAGCCCACTGCTCTATCCAAACTACGTCAGTGACTTTGATTAGGACAGAGATTATCTTTGTGCAGTTCAAGCTTGTTGCAGCTGATGACTTCACAAAAGTAAACTACGAACCAATGATCCTCAAATCCAGGCCTGGACGGCTGGAGTCCTGCAGCTGTAGACGGGTTTCTGCTTCAACACACCTGAGTCGAGTAATGAGGCCGTTACCATGGAGAACCGACTGCACCGAGGAAGTGATTCAGCTTTAGAGTCGGTGTGTTGGAGCAGGGACACATCTACAAGTCGCAGGATGCCGGGCCCCGAGTTCTGGAGTTTAGGAGCCCAGTGCTAGATGAGGAGTTAAAAAAAGCTACAGAACCAGCACCCATATCAGAAACTTAGCATATTAAAAACAGGAAGTCATTCTCCTGACTCAGCAGATGTAGGTAATGCCTGAGAATCAATGAGCTTCAGAAGTAATGAATGTTTAAGTGATTTTATTTCAGAAGAGACTGGAAAATGATGACAGGTGACCCTAACAAGTCCAAACCAGAACGCCTGGAGCTGAGAGCTTCAGATTCACCAAGTCCTGGTTTAAGTCCTGCAGGTCTGGAAGCGGCTGCACCTTCACCGGGTCACACAGCACATCTGGTGACACTATGCAAGAGAAAAATTGTACCGATTAATCCACAAACATGTATATAGAAGTAGATCTTTTAAAAAATCTGAAGTAATGATTGTCTCAAATTCATATGCATACTTAAACAAATCCAGTTATGATGACATCATCAATGCTGCTGTTTAAACATGGCTTTCAATTATAAGACGGATCAACCTGCTACACTTCAGAATAACTGTGCTACCTCCTAGTTTATAATGTTGATTTTTTTTAAATACAATGAAATATAAACTGTAATATATTCATATTTATTATGTATTGATGCTGGTTCTAGTTTGTGGGGTTATACTAATACCCACCAGCGCATGTAAGGTTGTGACGTTTGGTTATTATCTAGGTTACCATTAAAAATAACCAAAGGGTCAACATCGGTGTTCAGATCGCTCCTTCATGTAAAGTGTTAGACAAGAACCCAAATATATTGCATAAACAATGTATGAATTATCATCCACCAGTTTTCTAAAATGTATTTATTTTTTTCTCAGTGAGAATTAGTGGGCATTACTGATAATGTCAAAGACTCACAATCACCGCAGAGCAAAGAAGAAACATCACCGATTGACAATAAAGCAGTAAAGGCCAGCTCCCGCTAACAATAAAATTAAAGTAATGCACATCGATGTGTATTTTGGAAATGGATACATATGTTTGCGTATTCTGCTTTGTATGATCAGTTAAAAAAATCACTGTGTTTCTGAAAAGCGTGCCTTAAGTGAATTATTACACTGCTATTGTAACAGGTGGAACCACTAGGTGTCGCTCCCTCCACACCCTGAGCTCCCATAAAAGGGAAGCTGGCAGGCTGGTGGCCAACTGTCAATCCTGCCAACAACGCCAAATGTTACAGCCACTTGTAGCCGAAGTGCAATAAACAGCCAGCATGAAATTAACAATATTTATTATTACAAAATAACAGGGTGTGTATTTGCAAGAAGTGACCCAAAAAACAATGATAAAAACAAAATAAATAAAAAAGAAAAACAGAAAATCGGACTCTAAAAGAACAGCAGGGTGCAGCGACAACTGCAAAAAACAAAAATGACCACGTTTATTAAATCACTGCAATTAAACCAATCTAAAAAACATTAAGAACACTACATACCTGTATCGCACAAACCAGCCCTCTCTGACTTACCATACCAAGACTAAGGTCAATTTAACAGATCTGGCACAGCCCTATCATATAAAAACAATATAAAAAAACAAAACCATACAATTCAATCCAATCCAGTTAAAAAATATACAAAGCCTACCTGCAGCCTCGAACAGCCACACGCCCAGGTGATGCTACCGCCGGATCATCAATAATGACAGTGTGGCCCTATAAAAACACCCCGTCAGCACTGACTTAAAATGATCAAATTAAGAGTTTTCCTCCTTACCACAAAACAAAACAAACAGTGGAACGCGTGGGCCAACACACACCTGGTCGAACACACAGGAAATTGACAGTTGGCCACCAGCCTGCCAGCTTCCCTTTTATGGGAGCTCCGGGTGTGGAGGGAGCGACACCTAGTGGTTCCACCTGTTACACTATGATAATTTATCATTTAAGGACCAGAGCTTTATAAGAATTCATAATATACTAAGCCTATTATTATCTTGAATAAATTCAACTATGTAAAAAGACGCTAGCCTGATGCTATTAGCATGCAGCAGTGCTAGCATAGGTCGGTAGCATAGCTTAGTCACCAGAGCTCTGCTGATGCGCTAATAAAGGAGTTAGGTGTGCTGAAGATCGCCAGCTTGTGATGATAGTTGCACAAGTAAATCGATTAACATTAATAACGATAATATAGAGATAAATAGCTAATATATTAGATATTTCACTTTCCGCTCCTCTGTCGCTGCCAGAAGCCAGGCTGAGGACTAAACTGTCGGTGCTTCGTCAAAGCTACAGCGTTGTTAGAATGGGTTAATGTGATTGGCTGAAAAATAGGTTACCCCGACGTGGGGCTCCGTTCATATGATTGGCTGAAACAAGGAAGCTATCTAATTGGTTGCTGATCACCCAATCAAATAGATCATTTATAAAAAAAAAACTGAATTTTGAGACATCAGGAGAGTCTTGAAATTCACACAGGCCAGAAGGAGCTAAGTGTAAATCTTGTCCTGTGCATTTGTGGATCTTTTGCTTTTGTGAATCATGAGACAGTTTTAGCTCCATACTGCTGCTCTTCTCCTTCTCTGTAACGGTAACAGTAGCGCGAACAGTTACCGTAACTGCTGTTGTTGCGCGCAACACGCTCGCTCGCGCTTTCTACTGCCTGCCATATGGAGTCTCCGGCTACCGTAATAACGACCTATAGGAAACATTTTTTCTCATTCATAAAACGCTGAAATCGGGGACTTTTCCTGGAATGGCTTCAGCCGGGAACAGGTCACCTAAAACGGGGACTGTCCCCGGAAATCGGGGACGTCTGGTCACCTAAGGGGACATGGAGAAAAAAAAAAAAAATCTCGACTTATTTTCTCGAGATCCTGCGCTGTTCTGACTATCTGTGCTCCCCATCAATCCGCATGCAGATGTCAAGTTGCATACTCAGCAGCTTTCTTACCGATACATCATTCCCTGTGGAAATTCCGTCCGTTTTATTTCGTGGAGATTACGGTAAGCTCAGTGACGTGCGGTGAGGTTCATGGCTGGTGAGGCTCTGACTTAATCAAAATCATAAGACCCCCTGCATGTTATTGTTTACATACGGAAATTTCTCGCATGTGGACAACATTGAAGGGCAGAAAGATATACTTTCACATGTCATCCATAGCCGCGCTGCCATGGTGGAATAACTCTGTTAACTCAATCAAACTTGGAAATACAGATATTAATAATTTAGTGCTATGCTGCACAGCAAAGGGAAAACCCCTGAAGTACAACTCAAAACCACCTTTCTCTCTCTGTATCGGCCAAGCTGCACGTAGACTCGTTGCGTGTAGCTTCACTTATTTACTGTATGGCTAGCTCGCTGTTAATGTCTCTTACTCTGCAGTTGTGGAGTCACAATGTCTGGGATCATGAGCGCCCCCTTGCCATGAGGCAAGAGAACTGCCGGCCTCACATCGTATCTGTTCTCTATTTTTGTAACAAAACACATTACACACAGAGCTGGTGACAACAAACACTGTACATTATATCCATCCATCCGTCCATTTTCTTTACACCTTTGTCCCTTTTTGGGGTCGGGAGGGCTGCTGGTGCCTCTCCAGCTAACGTTCCGGGCGAGAGGCGGGGTCACCCTGGACAGGTCGCCAGTCTGTCGCAGGGCAACACAGAGACAGACAGGACAAACAACCATACACACACACTCACACCTAGGGACAATTTGGAGAGGCCTGTACATTATATACATAAGCTAAATTATGGAAAATCAGTCCATATATTAAATGTTTTTTAACCATTTTGTTCACGATACAGACAGGAGAACCTGCTCCCATAGAATGGCAGCCAGTGCAGTTAGAGAGGTTGATCAGTCCAGGTGAGGCTCAGCTTCCTGCTGCCTCACCTGCTTCGCTTCAGAGCATTTGAATGGGAAAATGCGAAAATTCAGCAATTCTGAAGAAAAAATAATCAAAATTGGTTAAGCTAAATGAAAAATAAGTACTTTATAATACAAACCACAGGGTGAAAATAGCAATATAAATTATCCTGTCATTATATTATTCCATGATAACAGGTGAGGCTCTGCCTCACCTTCCTCCCCTGACCTCACGTCACTACGTCACTGGCTCTTTGTGGGAAATAGTTTAGTGATTTTTTTTTTTGTGGCGTTCTTGTCAGTTGCTATGGCAACGAGTCTGTGTGCGCTGATACAGAGACCGAGAAAGACGTGGTTTTGAGTTGTACTTTAACGGTTCCTCCCTTTGCTGACGAGCACAGCACGAAATTAATAATATCTACGTCCAAGTTTGATTGAGTTAACGGAATCATTGTACAGCGGCAGCGCGGCTGTGGACGGCATGTAGAATAATAGTCTTTCTGCCCTTCAATGTTGTCCGCACACGCGAAATTTCCTTATGCAAACAATAACATGTAGGGTTATAGGGGGTCTATATTTGTAAATCTGATTATGATTAAGTCGGTGCCTCACCAGCTATGAACCTCACTGCAAAGAGCAGAACATTCAGTCTGCTGCAGTAGCATGGCTTTAGGTTTAATGTTTATTTTGCGATTATTAATAAGTGATTGCTGTGATATGAAGACAAAACTATAATTATATCGCTGCCCTTTACTGTATGGCTAGCTGGCTCGCTGTTACTGTCTCTTACTCTACAGCTCCCTAGTCACAATGTCTGGGATCATGAGCGCCCCCTGCCATGAGGCCAGAGAACTGCCTGTCCACAGAACCAGCCGTGCCCCCTCTGGACTGGGAGCTATTGTTTTTGTTTTGTTTGTTTTTACCTCTGAGTGGTTAACTTTCTGTTATTTCTATCTCTGTTTGATACAGGAGGGGCTCCCGTTCATTCTGTCTCCCGCGCTTTTTTCACCTTACAAAGTTTTATCCATCTTTAACGCTTCACAACGTGTTTTTCCAAGCTGCCTTTAAACGCAACTTGAGCGCTAGCTACTGCTGCAGCTCCTGAACTACAACACCTAAACTTTTCAAACCTGGACTAGGTTATTCTCAACTCATAGCAAAACATTTAAAACCATGTGTGAGATTTGTGAAACCTTTATGAGATTTGTGAAACTTCGAGAAGGGGTGACTCCAGGTCTCTTTTTGCATCTCGACCACATAAGAACTGAACTGCTCCTTCTCTGAAATTTTCATTATTTTACTGTTAGCTTTTTGTTTTCTCTCATAAAGATGCTGAAGGTAGTGAAAAATTAGCTGAAACTGCCTTGTATTGAAGTTTCGCAAATCAGGTAAAAGTTTCACAAATCACAAAGTTGGTTTTAAATATTCTGCTATTAGAGCAGATTAATCCAGTCCAGGTTTGAAGAGTCTCAATGTTGTAGTTTTTTAAATAAAGTAGATAAAATATGCTGAAAGTAGTGAAAAATTAGGTGGAATTGGCCTTTAGCCATTTCCCGAATCAGAAACCAACTTCAGCCTCGTGTTATTACAGGAGTTTTATTACACTGTTTATTGAGTAATGTTATTATTGCTACTCTTACTTGAGTAGATTGATTTTACATTTAAAGAAATAGACTTTAGCAATTGGAAACATTGGATTCCTAGTTTTCTGCAGCAGATGAGCTAATGTTTATGCCAGTGGTTTCCAAACATTTTCTGCCCCCCCCCCCATGGATTACAAATGGCTGTCTGGTTGAAACGACACGGGGGCAGGGGGGCATCGACTTTTTTGGGGGCAAAATGAATGTACGTAGCTGAAAATAGACACCAACATCGGTAGCCTACAAGGTACTTGTTAAGCTTAAGGTTCTGTATTGATATTAGCTAGTCGTCTTTTAGCTAACATTACCTGCATCCAGCAGCTTTACTCAACTCAGTCGGTTAGTTTGGAGGGAAAAACTGTGAAAAGTTCTTTGCGTTTTGCTGGTTTGCTGCCGTGATTCTAACACAAACCTACGTAGCTCCGCCCAGCAGCAGCAGGTCTCCTTCACAGGTGGAAACCCAGCCGGAGCGTCTCAGCGTTCATGTTGCGTTTAAAGGCGGCTCGGAAAAACAGGTTACACCATGTTCACAACGGATTAAACAGTTTTAACTGCTGATAAAAGTGACAGAGGACACAGATATGGGAAGTGTGGAAGCCTCTACTGTATCAAACTGACAGGAATAACAGAGAGTTGGCCATTCTAAGGTAAAAACCCAGCGCATACAGCGTCATGTTTTTTTTTTTTTCTTCCAGCCGGCTTCCCGCGCCCCCCCTGCAATGACCCACAGTTTGGGAACCTCTGGTTTATGCAAATTAGAGGATAATTACACAACATTTTAGACATGTCATTGCTTATATCCTTTTTTTATTTTGTATTAATAAACGGTTATTTTATTTGAAATGTTGCATAAAGGTTTGTTTACTCTGCCACCCCAAAATAAGCCAGTGGTACCTGCAGTAAACCTCCAATATGGCTGAATGCCAGCTGGTGGCTGCAGCTTCTGCTGACATTTTCTCCCAGCAACATAGACATTTCTTCCTAGACTGTGTTGTCCTATGGCTTTGAATAATGTCTGTGTTTTCTTTCAGGATAACATGGAGGAAGGTCAGGACTTTTCCCTCCATGGGAAAGCGGTAGTAAATGATGCTAATCTGAGTAAGTCTGATCGTCTGATCAAACCTCATTTCTCCCTCCAAGCTGCTTGACCTTCCTGTTATCTCCAAGGTCGAGGACAACAGGAAGGTCCTGATCTTCTCCAGGCTTTCTGAAAATCATTCAGGACTTTTCTTTGGGCTCTGTTTGCTGTTGCAGCACCAAACGTGTGACATGTCCTTTCCTCTTATCCATAGTTTCTGAGCTGTCATGATCTCTTTTCAGCCCAAACGTTTTTATTTCTCAGAAGTTATCAGAGGCGGTGGCGAAACCTCAAGCTGCTCCCACATTCACCGACATTCTGTGCATACAGTTCAGGTTTCATAGATTGCCTACATTTCTCTTGACAAATTCCTTCTTTTCCCACAATCCTAACGGATGCTACCTAGTTAGCTGAGCTAGCAGAGCGTCTCTGCTGTTTCTCCTCCTGCAGGACTGCTCACCTGTCTGAGCCGCACAGAGAGCTGCGCTCACACGTTGTTATCTTCATATTATCGGCTCGGTGTCAACATCGAGCCGTTTCCCGCAGGTCTGTTTCCTGCCGAGCCGTTTTCTGTAGCAACAGGTTGTTGCTAGGTAACCAACGAGTGAGTGAGGTAGCCTTTCCTCTGCCTACATCCCCCAGAATGCTGTGCGGTTCTGGGTCTGAGTTCAGTGAGATTATCAGCATTCTATCAGATGTATTTCTATCATTATTGATCACGTGTCGATCACGACACGTAGCGTCGTTTTATCGCCCAGGTCTAATGTGAGCAATGAAAGTCCATCCAATGACCAAATACAATGTTGGCAACAATGTTTGAAATGTTATAATCAGCCCATTGTTGCATCCAAATAATATGATTGGTCATTGCACACATCCATAAAGTAGTAATATATGGCATATTGAGCAGCTCTACCAAAATCTTATTTAATTTTTTTCACCAGGAATGATTTTTCTTACCTCTGTCCAACTTTTCTGCTTCCAGGAGACGAATACTACTGGAAGCTTATTGCAGACTTCATTGGTCCTCAAACAGGGGAGGGACTAGACCTGAACCAGGGGCCATGCAAGAACAGACTGATGATCCAAGTTGGACTCCTGAGGGAGGACAATAATTTTCCCTGGCTCGCCATCACAGAGTGGCTGAAGAAGATCTTCCCCGCCCATCAGTCAGCTGACTTCCGCTGTTTGATTGAAAGAGGCATTGCAACAACGCTGAGCCTGGGCATCGAAGCCAGGTTTGTCTTTCTGGATTCAGATGTCAACTTCAACTTCGTTGGCCCAATATGCGACAGTATCGGAGTGGAGCGCCAGCATCTTCTGGAGCTCAGGGATTTCTCAGAGCGGGCACGGTCCATCGAAGTCACAAATGGACTGATTGTCGAGTTGAGCAACTTTGTTGCCAGGGAAAAAATTTCCCCAGTAGTCATTGTTTCCTGGCTAAGAAACTTTAACCCAGAGTACTGTAAGAGTGGGGCCATTCAGAAAGCATACAAGCTCCTCCGGTCCAGGATAAAGAAGCTGAAAATTTACTGTCGCAACTATGAAACGAGGAGTCACAGGAAGAATGCAGCCATTGAAAAAGTGCTTCAGAGTCCGTTTGAACTGGTTCCGAAGAAATTACCAAAAATTTTTGTAAAGAAACGCCTGAGAAGAGAAGATTACGAAAGGGTTACAGTCAAAGAAGAAGACGAGTGCTCAGAAATCTCCCAAGGCGAAGGTCCTGAGGCACGCAGGGAGGAAGTAGGAACCACGCTGCAGAGAGGAAATGCTGACGCGGGAGGCGAGGATGACGGAAAGACATCCAGCTCTGACTGCGGAGAATCCCTGACCCTGCTGGACATCGCCATGCTGTCCGTCCAGAAGCTGTCCAGCGTTTACGGCGGGAAAACTGAAGCGTGTAAAAGCGTTTCGTTGGATCTGCTGAAGAATCACTACGCTCTCACCTACAAGGAGCATCCAGCCATGGAAGAGTTTGAGAAAAAGGTGAACAGTGTCCGGAAGGAGACTTCCCTCGTGCACCCGGTGGTGTTTTTAAACTACAACGCTAATTACCTCGTTGATCTGCACGATGCGGTGGAGGCACAGATCATGAGCTTTGAGAAAGAGATCATCCTGTCCACAGGAGTGAAACTGGGCCGAGATAATCTTCCCAAGTTCAAGAACTTTGTCAGTTTGCCAGAAAGCGCCACGTCACGTTACATCCACATGGCCTGTGATATCCTGAGCCCGATCAGCCCGGAGAAACCGAACTACAGAAAGCATTGGGTGGCATTCTGTGAGGAGAAGGGAAACCCCTCCAGACTCGCTGTAAACCAATCAAACAGACTGAATAACTACTTTGAAGCAGCAGCAGGTCTTATCCACCATCACAAGGAGACGGCTCTCTTCTTTGCAGATCTGCTGTCAATTGCCAACGACCCATGTCCGAACATCATCCTGGAGAGCGTTGCAGCAGACGCAAATGACTCCATGATCCAGAGCTTCGTGTGTGTCGTGGCCATAATTTACTGCAAGATTCTCGGCCCCTATTGGCAGCTCCTGAAGAGCGGAGGAGAGTATGCGTTCTTCAGTCAATTCCTGCTGTGTCTGTACCAAAGGTTCATCGATTGGTCCAAAGATCCCTCCACGCTGCTGGCACCGGAGGAGGACAGCAATGTCTTTCTGCAGTTCCCGCTGCAAGAGAAAATCTTCACCGGGGTGTTTAGCTTCTGTGGCGAGTGGCACACAAACCGAGACCTGATCCGAGCTTGTCTGAAGAGGACCATCAAAGTGATTGCTGCCGTCACTGAGGAACACTTGAAGAACTTTTTACCTGGAGGAATGTTTTCCCAGATCCCTTCCACTGATGTGTGCTTGGAGTTGGTCAGCTGCACGTTCTCCGTCTTGATGGCAGAGTATCCCTTCGGCCATGCGTATCCATACAAGAAGAAAAGGCCGGACAAGCTGTCCAAGAACTCCTCAAAGAGCCAGCTGGACAGCTCGCAGGAAGACGAGGGCATATCTGGCAACAGCTCTGATGAAGCTTCGAGGAGCAGAAACGGCTCCCAGTTCAGCCAGAAAGAGGAACAAAGCCCTCAGGCGAGAAAAGGTTACAGAAGAGTCCCTGAGGAAGAGCAGGAGGAGAACATGGACAGGGACTACATTATCGCCACAGTGACCAGAAATGGAGGTCCCTGCAAAACCCAGCAGGACATTGAAAAGATGCTGCTGCGCTTTGATGGGAAGTCGCGACTGGAGAAAAGGGAAGGGCTTCGCTGCGAGATCCTGTATCAGAAGATGGTTCTGAACAACACCAACCCACACCTGGACCATCACTGCCTCAACTCCACCCAGATGGCGCTGAAGCTAAAATTTGCTCTCCCTCGTGTCAAACCTGGATACTCGCTGGTGCTGGCGCCCAGGAAGACCAAGCTGAGGCCCTCCGGCCGGCGCGCTGCGGAGGACCAAGCAGCTCCAGCTGCCGCCGCCGGCCTGCTGCCGTCCGGAGAAACGAATCCAGACTCTTCCTCAACGGAGGTCGGGATCACCAGCTGAGCTGAAACCCTACAAAGACTTTCTGTGTTGGAAATGTGAAATTTGATGCCACTCCATGTTAGCATGGAGCCGCTGCAAACATTTCAGGATATGAAACCTTTACATTTGGGAATGTTCCCAATGTGTAGTTCAAACTTGTTCTCCTGTGTCAAAATAAACATTTTCAAATTTTTTTTTATTGATTTTGTTTAGGTATTCTTTACAACAATAAAATGTTTTGAGGAAAGTTAAACATTTGCAGGAAGTAAAGGGCTTTCATTGGGCAATGAAGGCTAAGAGCTTAAAGGTGTTTGTTTCTAACTTACTCTGCAGTTAGAACAGCAGGAGAGCAACAGAGCGATTTTTAGAAGTGTAGATTGAGACAAGGATGAAAACAAGAAGACTGGACAGACCTGTTGGAATCGTTTAGAAGTTGTGGGAAGACCTTGTAGGATCATTTTGGTGCTGTTGGGATCCAGTATGTGGTTCTGTTGGTTCTGTTGTGATCCGCTCCTGTGTCACTGGAGCGGATCACAGCTGCAGGGAGTCTGGGCTCCCTTGGAGACAGAAACTCGGAGTAGAGCTGCTGCTCCTCCTCACTGAGGAGCCAGGCGAGGCATTCAGGCCACCTGGGAGGAAACCCAGAGGAAGACCAGGACGATGTTCCCCTGCTGGGAACGCCTTGGGATTCCTGGAGGAGCCGGACCAGGAGGCTGGGGGAAACCTGGGTCTCCCTGGCTGCCGACCTGCGACCCCAGACTAAGAGGAAGATGATGGATGGAACCGACTAAAACAATATATTCATATTTTTTCCTAAAATTCTGGATGGGATATTATACATTTTCTCATTTGATTAGGTCATTGCATTACAACCCCAAACTTTAACCAAAACTCTGCTGAAATTAAAATGTCTGTTCAGATATGTAAAATTTTAAAAACAAAGCTTTCTCTTCCAATTTCTTTAGAGGACATTATAATAAATCTGGTTGCCTTTGCTAATTAAAATTGTGTTAAAAGTTATATATGCCTACCATAGATCCAGCTGAGGTCTTAAGTAAAGAGACGTGTTGTCCAGTTTTGTCCACATGAAGGAAAAAGCCGGATTCTGTTCAGCAGTAAACGTGTTTTTCTTTAAAGCCTCTTCATGTTCACTGAACTTCGGCCCCATTTTCCGTCCTAATCTCTGACAGATAAAGAACCTGTCAGGAGAACAAACCAGCTCTCGTTTATTCAATGATTTATGTGGCTGATGCCTTCACTGCTGTAAGAAATTACAGATTGTTTATGAAAACAGGACGAGTGATCCCCAGTATGCAGAAATAATGATAATTGCGTTTCAGTTTGGTAAATTTTACATTAGGTTGCATTTTTGAGCTCATGTGTGATCGGAATTTGAATACAAAAGCATATTTGTGTATACATTAAATAACCAAATAAATATCTGCCAGTATTACCGTCTTAGTGCCATGCTTCTGGAAGTAAAATGTTCCGAATATTAAAAGGTAAAGATGCAAAATTTAAGGAAATTTCACCCTGATTTTAAAAGTTCTGAGTGTTCGTGAAGGCAGCAGAAGGGGCGGAAACTTTGCGCAATAGTCCATTGCTCATAGTAAGAGCCGACGCGGTGAGTGGAGGAGCTCCCGGAACCACATCACCCCAGAGATCCGGTCCATTCCCCGCCGAACCGAGCGGAACCATGCCGGGCAGTTGGTGGCGCGCTGCCGCGGTGAGCCACGGCCTGACGGCCCTGTTCGCCATGGGCTCCTGGGTTTCCGTCAACAGCCTGTGGGTGGAGCTGCCGGTGGTGGTGAGAGAGCTGCCCGAAGGTCAGTCCTCATCTCCGGAGGAAAACTCCCCCATTCCCGGTCCGCCTGACCCGGTTCTGTTCGCCAATTTATCACAACACGAAGCAACTTCATAATCACTTAAAGCGGTAATAAGTGACTCCTGCTCCAGTGTTGGGACCCATAAGCCTTTTCATCAGCTGATTACAGACTCGTGTTTACAAGCCGGTTCATTAAACTAATGGTTTCAATCCATCGATCCGTTATTTCTGTTCTCTCCAAGCAGTCAAACATTTATCAATCTTCAGCCTTCAGCCTGTTTTGCTCTCGTTGCAGGCTGAAGCTTCATCAGCTGCTCTTCATCAGAAGATGTTCGCATGTGGGGTTCCTCAAGGCTCTGCTGCTGGACCCCTTTCATTAAACATGAACCGGTTTTTGCGTCAGTCCAGCCCTTCACGTCCTCTGCCTCGGTGTTTCTCAACCCCTGGTTCTCGGCCCGCCCTGCGTGTTTCAGCTGCTTCCTTGCTTCCTTCTGCCCAGGTGATTTCAGCTGACAGGTGTTTGCTGAAGGAGGCGCAGAGCAGCAGGGGAACATCTAAAACATGCGGGGCGGTGAGCTGGAGGACCGGGCTGGGAACGCTGCTCCAGAGCACAAGATGACTATTAATACTGGAAAACCGTTCGTATAGATGCTTGATAGAAAATATGTGTAGCAGTAAAAGTAACAGCAGCTCAAAGGTACATTATTACATTGACAGGTGAAAATAACATCTAAAATCGTATTTTATTTGAAAAGAAGCTTGAAAAACGGATCAGGTTTCTACTACCTGACCAATATCTGGTTTTCTTTGACTTTAGATTTGATTATCCAGATTAGACCTGGAACAATTAATCAATTATTGAATTGTCAACTAATATAGTAATAAATCAATCGTTAACTGGAGTATACAGACTCTAAAAAAGCCATTTGCTGAAAGAGCAACACTGTGTGGCAAGATAAAAATCAACAACCGCTTTGTCTGTAAATCTGTTCTGACTTCACAAAGTTTTACGTAAAGTTGGTGGAGAATCTAAAACCTCCATAAAGCTGCAGTTTGTAGCTTTTTATATGTTTATTCCATGTTAAAACCGTTTAATGTGAGACGGATAAAAATAAATTAAATCGGCCTCTGCCCTGTTGTCATCTGCACAAATACACCAATCAGAGCCAGGAGGAGGGTCTGTAAATCACCCTGGTGTACATGCTACTCAGGCCCCTAGCACTCTGCTACGCTACCAACCTCAACAGAGCCTCCCCTGAACGGTAAAGCTAGTTAGCATAGCTATCGATGATGGTGGAGAAATGGGTCTCCTGGAACGGTAAGTTGTTTCTCCACCATCAATACATTGAGCAGCGTGTACACGAGATGAGTGACAGCGCTAGGCCCCTCCTCCTGACTCTGATTGGTTGCTTTTGACCGGGAAGAGTTCAGTTCTGCAGAGGGAGAAGGTGGAGGAGATGATCTGTGTCAGGTTTATTAGCAACAAGGTCAAAGGTCGTCTCATCACATCGACATCAAACAGCCACCAGCTGTGAAATGGGTGTAAACAAACGACATCATCAGATTATTGATCAAATCGATTCCAATCAACTGGGTTTACAGACATAAAGGAGCTCAGGGTTTCAGCTGATTTAAGTTTTCTGCAAGTTTGTTCCAGATCTATGATGCATAGAAGCTGAACCGGGCGGTTCTGATCCGGTTCTCGTCTCCTTCCAGGCTGGAACCTTCCTGCGTACCTCTCGGTGCTCATCGCCTTTGGAAATCTGGGTCCCATCGCGGTGACGGTGGCGCACCACTTCGCTCCGGGTCGCCTGAACGAACGCGTGGCCATTCACTGCATCCAGGCGCTGGCGGTGGTGGCGTCGGGGTTCCTGGCCCTTTTCTGGTCCCGCCAGGTGCCGATCGCAGGAGCGGAGCGGTCGCTCCCCTTCCTGCTGCTCAGCTTCGTCCTGGCTCTGGTCTGCTGCACTTCCACCGTCACCTTCCTGCCGTTCATGTTCCGCTATCCTCCAGAGTACATCCGCACATTCTTCATCGGCCAGGGCTTCAGCGCCTTGTTCCCCTGCGTGGTGGCTTTGGGCCAGGGCGTCGGCAAGCTGGAGTGTAAAACCGAGAACGACACAGTGAAGCCAGAGTACCTGGAGGAGAGCTTTCCTGCCCAAAACTTCTTCTGGTTCCTGTTTGTGATGCTCACCATCTCGGCCTTGAGCTTCATGGCTTTGACACAAAGACGGGCCGAGTCCCAGCAGGAGAGGCCACCCCAAGAGTCCGACGGCGCCGAAGCGGCAAAGAGCGGAGAGGAGACGCTCCGGCTGTACAACGGAGGAACGGCGGCGCCAGAGGACCCGGTCGGCCCGGAGCCGCCCGCTCCCCGGTTCTGGACGGGACGAAACGTCTACCTGCTGGCGCTGCTCGCCGCCTCCAACGCCCTCACCAACGGAGTGCTCCCGTCCGTCCAGAGCTTCTCCTGTCTGCCCTACAACAACATGACCTTTCACCTCTCTGTGGTCCTCGGCAACATCGCCAACCCCCTGGCTTGCTTCCTGGCCATGTTCGTGGTGCTGAGGTGAGACTGGAGGCGTTTCTGACCTGTAAAGGTGGATTTTCCCCCTGATCCTGTTCTCTCCTTAAAGTTCAAATGCTAAAAAAGAAATCCACAAAATGGTGTCAGGACTGAGTTCAGGGCCCCAAGAGGTTCAGAGGTCAAACAGTTGCGACCTTTGTGGAGAGGACAGTCCAGGATGCCGCTGTCTCCAAACTGGGCCACTTCCTGTCCGACTGGCCCTACTTCCTGTGTAGCTCCAGCTGGGTAAAGGTCACTGGTGACACAATAACAGTAAAGGATGTCGGGTTCTAGAAATGGAGTAAAAATGAGCAGAAAAATCTTTAAAAAGTTCTGGAGGAACTAAAGGAACCTAAAGAGAGAGGGCTGGGTCAGGACTTTGGCAAAGAGCATGACCTTTGACCCTCTGATGTGTTTCAGGTCCCCTGTAGGCCTGGGCCTGGTGTCGCTGGCGGCGGGCATGTTTGCTGCATACCTGCTGGCGCTGGCGGCGCTCAGCCCCTGTCCGCCGCTGCAGGCCAGCCTCGCTGGGAAAGCCTTGGTGGTGAGTTTCCTCTGGAGGCTTTTATTTTGATAAGCCGCCTAGCAGAGTCAGCTAAAGCTCAGGGGCCTCATGCATAAAACACTGCGCAGTTTTCACACTAAAACTTGGAGAAAAATTTAGAAAAGTGCAGCACACAAAAAGTATCAGATGTATAAAGCCGTGCACACACACATGGCTGCGCACCTTTCCTTTATAAATCCTAATTTACAGGAAACGGAGCAGCTGCTGCTCCGCCTGTCGCCTCCATAAATACGTCTTAATGTAAATTAGCATAAATACCCGGGAAAAAAATCCAAATTAATAAAATAAAAAACAAAGAGGTCTAAGTTCAAGTGCCTGAACAGCAGCAGTTCAGCCGGGATTTAGAGACAGAGAGTCAGAGGGCCTTTGGGTGGGAATGTGGACGTTTATTCTGAATAGTAGAATCATGTGAATAAGTTGTACATTTACAGAATAAAGATGCTTTATGTCCATAAGGCGCTTTCACAAAGCGGGAGGCTGGATGGCTGCAGCTGGACCGGTACCGGTACCGCTCGGCTCCTTCTTTAAGTTCTGCTCAGAGACCCAGGATGATCAGTCTGGATGAATCTAAACACCAATAAACCATCAGATCAATATGATCTCTGATCAATCCTCCCTCTGTTCTCCATCAGAGCCAAAGCTCCACATTACGGCTCACCTGGATGCAGCTACTGATATCCGTGTGACTGCAGACACACCTGGATCACCTCAAATAATCAAAGCTGTTGATTAGTTTCACTCAGCAGGTTGGAGTTAATCTGCTGAGCCTGTTTCCTGTTTTCAGTGAGAATGAAATGACCCCATAGATGCATTTCGGCTCACAGATCAATGTGTTACATCTCTATGAGACACAAACTGAGGAAAAGTGCCATTTACATTGGAGCGAGGTTTTCACATCCTTTTATTTTTATTTTGTGTTCGTGTTAGCTTATTGTCTGAGGATGAATGGGTTCAGTTTCATCGTTTAACAATAAAATATTAAAATCATGAAAAACATTGGTTTGGTGCTTCTTGGTCTAAATAACTGAATGTAGTCAGACTTCATTGATTTTAGGTGTGTTTTGACGCTTTGTGGTTTGATATTGTTCACAGAAAAAGTTTGTGTGGCTGCTGCACATTTTCACGCCGAGCGAAAAAGGGTGTAAACCTTGATGCAAAGTTAATTTTTATACATGCCGACTTGTGCATAAAATATGGGACCGCACATTTTTTGTGCACGCCGCTTTATGCATGAGGCCCCTGGATGTGTAACTTTAGGTAAATCCAAACGCTCAGAACCAGAACCACTTCTTGTTCTTGGCTAAATATGACAAGAAAATGTAACCTTTATTTTGAAAGTCTGGACTTTCACTTGATTGTCAGTTTAATCAAATCCAATCAGAGTCAGGATTTAATTGGTTGCCATGGCGATTCATTCATTCCTCCGGGAGCAATGTGAAAAATGCAAGTTGGATCAGAACAACTCCTGGTCTGAGAGGGTCCAGTTTCTCCAGAACCAATCAGAACCAGAGCTACTGGGAGTGAATGAGAGTGGGCGTGTCTCTGCTCTCTGATTGGTCAGAAACCAGGAAGTCCTCCAGGAGAGGGATTGGGTGGAGAGACGGGTAAAACCCGGAAGGTTCTGGATGTTCCTGGTCCGGATGATGGTTCTGATGCAAAAGACGACTGAAATGAAAAATTTTAGTATTTTAAAGTTTTGAGAAAAAGTTTATTCCAGCCACAGCTGATCAATAGAAATCAATAAAACAGTTTTACTGTGAGAGGATATCCTGTTTATGTTGCTAAGCAACCCAGAGGAAACATGGCCGTCCCCTGCTATCGCTCACCGGCTGCGTGTGTGCGCCCCCTGCAGGTGGGCTCCTGGATCCTGTTCACCGGCCTGTTCTCCTACCTGAAGGCGTCGGTCGGCACGCTGCTGCACGGCGCCGGGCGCGGCGCGCTGCTATGGGCCGGCTTGGCCATCCAGGCCGGCTCCCTGCTGGGCGCGCTCGCCATGTTCCCCCTGGTCAACGTCTACCAGCTGTTCGCCCGCGCCCACGACTGCGTGGACGTCTGCAGCAACAGGACTGCAGCTCCTCCAGCAGGGGGCGCAGCTGTTCCTGAGCTCCGGACGTTTCTGGACTGACGGCAGCAGGAAGCTCTTCGTCGTCTCTGACTCTTCCTCAGGAGGAAGGCCGCATGCTAATGACCTTCCACTTTTCTTTCTGTTGAAACATTTTACTGAAAGTTTTTTTGATGTTTTGGGATTTTTTTCCCCGTTTTGGGAATGAGATCTGATTCCCAGCTGTTTGGGACCAAAACTCACTTCCTGTTTCTGTGATCTGCTGACAGACAGAAGTAGCCGATGCCAGATGCTCACACTGAGGCTTGACCTTAGGGCTGCCACCTTTCAGAAATCCAAATAAGGGACGCCCCCTCACGGCGTGTCGCCCGACTCTCATGGGGTGGGACGTCCGCTGCAGTGATGGATAATATTTCATGGCAATGTTTTTGTTTTTAAAAAGTGATCCAGAGAGCAACCGTTCATACATAGAGTACTCCAAAACTGTTCTCCAGTCAGAGCATATCTTAAACATGTTTAATTAAGCAAGTGTAAAATGTAAACGGCTCAAGTACTGAGCGACTGATCATAACACCTGATTTAATATTCAAAATGTGTCCTCAGACAGCCAAAAGTACAAGTTATGTGAAAATTCTAGTATTGTAAAGAATATTAATAAAATATTTATACATATAAGGAGATAGATTTGGAGGCTGGTTCTAGGACAAATTTACCACTAGGGGTAGTCGGTGCTTTTTCATGGGGACACTTAAAAAAATGAAACAAAAAAACAGAGCAATATTTCATCATTTGATATATGAAGTGAGCCAAAAAGCCACTTGTGTCTCCAGAGATCCAGGCTGCAGATCCCTGGCAGATGGAAAGTCTGATTCTACACAGCAGCTAAAGGTGCAGCACTATAATTTTTAATTCAATGTTAAAGTAAAATTGTGAAGGTTAAAAAATCCACCACTGAGCATTAACAAAAGACATTTATTTAGCATAATTTCTTCTGTACCCCGTTGGCCCCCATCTAGATCCGCCCCTGGGCTTCAGGTCTGTGTCTGACATTAATTATACAGTAAATGACCACTGAACACTGAATTCATAAAAGATGTCAACATTTCTTAATAAAACAAACAGAAAGCTCTAACAAACCTTTTAAAAGTAGGAAATATTTATGTATTCACTGTTAATCTCTCGGTATGATTTGTTCTCTAAATCACCATTTGTATTATGATACATTAAATAAGCAAATAATCAACTCCTAACAGTCGACTAAAAGCACAATAAGAAGCTGAATAATAAAATGTTCTCCCATATCAGCCTCCGGAGATGACTGAGGGATGAAGAGATGCTGATTTCTGGTTCTGTAGGTTCTGATGGGTCTGCAGTTCCTCTCCTGATCCATTCTGTCTATCATACAGCAGCACCGCGCCACGATGGACACTTTTTTTGATCTTGATTGCCTGTATTCATCCTCACTAACATTATTTACTCTGGGATTTGCGTCTTCCCTCTCACGTCTGTATCTTTACGAGGTTTTGGTTCTAAGGACGGTGGCGTATCGGGCTGAGGACGTTTTAAAAAGACGGGTTGATAGCAGCTCACTGCGGCTGCGTAGTGTCCGTCTCTAGGCAACAGCATCGGTCCGTAGCGTTCTGGGGTCCTTTTTACGTCCCGCCACAACAATTTAGCTGACCTTAATATTTCCTGTTTTAATTTGGTCATTGTTGTTACACTTAGTGTTGATATGTGTGTGATAGGCGAGTCTATCGGTCAGTTATAGAAATACGGAACAAATCGCGTCCCGTAGCAACATTTAACAGCCAAACATGGGACAGTCCGTATTTAAGGGACGGGAGGCAACCCTACTTGACCTCTGACCCCCAAAGGTTTTAAAGAGACCATCCTGTTTATTCCTGCTAACAATAAAGCAACAGTTTGGTGAAATCTGGGTTTTTTATTTTTAATGTTAATGTTCTTTTTTTTTTTTTTTTTTTTACAGTTTTGGTTTCTGCTGTTGTCTTTATCCTCCAGTAATTGATCAATCATTAATTGATTATTTTGGGTGAAGGTGATGGAGGGTTAAGCTGACGGCCTGCAACATTCCTCCATAAATCAGCTAAATTATAAAATTTTTGTTCTTTTGGAATAAACTTTAGCCATGATGCAGGTTTTCCTTTGAGTCCAGAGAAAAACCCGAAACTTTACGATTTTCTAACATGCAATGAAAATAAATGGTTTTTATTTGGTATTGCTGGCATTTTCCATATTATCCCAACATTTGCTGATAAGTAGAAATGTTTTTATAGACTGCTGTGATTAGAAGAGCTTGTTGCTGGTTCCACAAAGCTGTTAAAACGTGACTTTCTATTGAGCAACCTGCAGCTGAGGCCGTTCGCCTCTTGATCCGCTTCTGGAGAATTAGCTGAATTCTGCAGATTCTCTACGAAGCGACGAGAACGAGACGCATCTGCTGCCCTGCAGGGTGAAGACGGCTATCAGCCAATCAGGACCAGGCTTTCTGCAGGACCCCCACCCCCAGCAGGGCTTACGCCTCGGACGCTCCTGCCAGTTATTATTGCTCAGGACTTTGGCTCCAGAAACGCTCCTTCCACCAGCAGCAGGTGAGTCTCTGCAGGCAGATCGTCTCCATCTGGTTTAGATTTTCATCAACATTCAACAGATTTGAGCTCCTAACACAGAAGCTGATTTACACTTTAAATTTTACTTCTATGATGATCTACAAGTGTTAAAACTTTCTGACTGTTTTCGTTTAGACAGTCGGTGTTGCTCAGCGTTTCCAAAGGAAACACAAAAAATCTGTGAACATTAACAGAAGATGGGAATAATTCACGCAATGCGCCTTTAGCTGGATGGATCCGTTCCTCATGGTGACACATTAATCTGGACTTACAGTTTGATCTGTTTTCTCCTGCTGCACATAAAACCTTGTAAATAAAATGTTTTCTGCATTATTTTATTTTTTATTATTTTACTGAAAGTCTAAATATGAATTAATAATGATGTTGGTCCCAATGCATTAGATCAAATTCAGCATTGATAAAGTTTTCACTAATCAATTATCTGACTGTATGTACATTAGTCATATCAACTAATATGACTTATTAATTATTATAAACCTTTTTACTGACAACTCTTGTTTGAAATTAACGTATAAAGGCCTTTAACTAGACCAGAACTGTCCCGCAGCCTCTGACTGAGCCTGCTGTCCGGGCGTCTCCCCGCAGGACGCCTCCGCCATGTCCGTGCTCACCCACCTGCTGGCCGTCCTCTTCGGGATGGGCTCCTGGGTCTCCATCAACGGCCTATGGGTGGAGCTTCCCCTCATCGTCCCGCAGGTCCCAGAGGGATGGTACCTGCCCTCCTACCTGTCCGTCCTCATCCAGGCGGCCAACGTCGGGCCGCTCGTCGTCACCCTGATGCACCGCCTCCGGCCCGGCGTCCTCAACGAAGCGGCGGTCATCTACGGGATCGTGGCGGTGGGCGCCGTGGCCAGCTTCCTGCTGGCTTTCTTCTGGAAGGAGACGGTGGTGGTGGCCGGCGCCCCCCGCAGCCTGGCTCTGCTGGTTCTGACCTTCTTCCTGGCGGCTGTGGACTGCACTTCCTCCGTCACCTTCCTGCCCTTCATGATGCACCTCCAGCCGCACTTCCTCACCTCCTACTTCATCGGGGAGGGGCTGAGCGGCCTGCTGCCGGCCCTGGCGGCTCTGGTCCAGGGCGTCGGCCTGGTGCGCTGCGTCAACAGCAGCCAGTCCCTAAACCACAGCGGCCACGGAGCCAGACGCCTGGAGGCTCGGTACCAGCCCTCCAACTTCTCCGCCGAGGTCTTCTTCTTCTTCCTCAGCGCCATGATGCTGGTGAGTCTGGCAGCGTTCCTGCTGCTGGACCTCCACCCGGCCGTGGCCCGGCAGCAGCCCGACCCGCGCTACTCCGCCGGGTCCAGGGAGAGGTCCAGGAGGAGCCGGAAGAGGCCCGAGCAGAGGCCCATGATGGACCCCTTCAGGCCCCAGAACCACAAACCCAGAAGCAGCTTGGGTTCCAGCTCCTGCAGCCAGAAGCAGCTGGTCTTCATCTTCGTGGTTCTGGGCTGGGTCAACGCCCTGAGCAACACGGCCCTGCCCTCCGTCCAGTCCTACTCCTGCCTGCCCTACGGGAACGGCGCCTACCACCTGTCAGCCGCACTGGCCGCTGTGTCCAACCCGCTGGCCGGCTTCGTCGCCATGTTCGTCTCCATCAGGTCAGCCAGGAACAAATACCTGATCAATAATCAAATATCCATTCAATTATTTTCTTCTCTCAGGACTAAAATGATATAAAGGTTCTACTGGACTTCATCAAGTCCAGAGGAGCTCAGAGCGCTTCACACTCATTCACATGCTGATGGTAGAGCTACTGCACGGTAGCCACGGCTGCCCTACACAGTCTGACAGGCAACCATGCACCAGCGCCCCCTGCTGGGCGCTCTGACCTGCAGCAGGTAGGGCGGGTGAAGTGTTTTGCCCAAAGACACGATGACAGAGTGGCGATCGAACCAGCAACTGGCCGAGGGGCGAAGTCCTGCCACCGCTGCTGCCACCGCTCCAAAACCTGAACTGAAGTCTGAGGATTGTGAAATAGTTGATCAAAAACAAGAACTTTCATCCAGACTTCCTGAAACTTGAAGAAAGAAGAAGTCTGAAGGAAGTCAGGAGGAAATGTGGAGAGAAGTTTTGGTTTTTCCTCATCAACTTCCTGCTTTGATGGATTCAACAAAAGCTCTGTTCTATTTGGAAGCACCTCACCACATGGGGTGTATGTAAAATTCTGACCTGTGTGGATCAGACATGTTCTGGTTCTGGATGTTCCTGACAGCTGCTTGTGGTTCTGCAGGTCGCTGGTGTTCCTGGGCTTCCTGACGGTTCTGGGAACCGGGATCGGGTCGTACATAATGCTGATGGCGGCGCTGAGTCCCTGCCCCCTGCTGGTCAACGACGGTGCTGGCGCCGCCATCATGGTGGGTCCAGGAGATTCTGATGGGTCCAGATGGTTCTGGTGGTTCTGATGGTGACCTTCCTCTGTCCAGGTGCTCGCCTGGATCCTCTTCATCTTCTCTCTGTCCTACGTGAAGGTCATCATTGGGGTGATCCTGCGGGATGAAGGTCACAGCGCCCTCGTGTGGTGCGGGGCAGTGGTGCAGCTCGGCTCCCTGCTGGGAGCCGTCACCATGTTCCCTCTGGTCAGCGTCTACGGCCTGTTCTCCTCCGGGGACCCATGCAGCACCAGCTGCCCCTGAAGGGCCCATGAGGGGGGAACCATGAGGGTTCCCCAATAAATCAGGAAGGTTTAAATGTTGCACTTGGTTTTAGATTTTTTGCTCTTTAGTTTTATTAAAAATCTGCACATTTGCCATAATTTAGTTTTAACTGCATTTATTTTCATTTCATTGTTTGCTTTATGACAATAAAAATCTCCAGGAATTTTCTCATTGAGTCGCCTTCAAAACTTTTCTTTCAGTTTCTTCATTGCATCTCTAAAGAATCTGACTTTGGTGAAAAAAAAACAACTAAATAACTATAACATTTTTAAATAAATATTCTGTATTTCATCTCTTTCTGGTCCATCAGTGTAACATCAGTCGTTGGATTTGCTGAAGTTGCTTTTGAAACATAAAAATAAAACTTAAACTTCGTAAGACTGGATAAAATGACGTAGTTTCTTCTTTTCTCCGTCAGTTGAACATCTAGCCGCAGTTTGAGTAAACTCCCAGCATTCTCTGCGTCGGTCAGCCGTCGCTTGTTGTTCTTCCTCTTGACGCAGATGAGCGCCCCCCCCTTGGTGGAGAGGTAGAACAGCGGGTGGACGACGCTGGAAGGAGACAACAGCAGGATGGAGATGGGCGTGAACAGCTGCTGGTCCTGAATCTGGAACTTCTGCATGGCGGCCACCGGATGTAGCAGAGCAGGTTGATGGCCGTAGTGGCGCAGACGGACCGGAAGGCCTTCCTCTTGACCAGAGGAAGCAAATTAACAATGGATTTATCAGAGAAACAAAAAGTTTCCTGTTTATTCTGGGAGAATTATGGGATGGAGCGAGAAGTTATCTCCAATAAATGGCCTGAACTCCTGATCAAAAACAAAAGTTATTAAAACCATCTGAAGATGAAAATGAGACCAAACTTACCGACAGCGTTGGAGGCTGAAACCGGACCAAGTTCAATCTGATCCTGATTTCCCTGAAAGCTGAGCAATGTCAACACACCTGATTTTCATAACAGGACAACAGGAATTCATCTAAAACACAAATATGGATCCTGAGTTTCATACAAAGAAATGTCTGAATTTTGGTTCCTGCTGCAGGAAGATTCCCTCCAGGATGTCAGAGAGCAGTGGAGTTTTGAGAATCTGCATCTTCACATCCCAGAGGACCATCTTCTCTTTCCAGAGGATGAGGACGCAGACCTGCAAGAGGGTGTTGGGTTCCCAGCATGTGAAAGGTCTGACCTCGAGGAGGGGGTGTCGAGAAAAGTCGAGCTCATCCCACTTCCCCATGCTGGAGATTTTAGTTTAATAACAATAAATAAAGTTATCTTTAAAACTGATTACACAGGTGACATCAAGACCCAACAGTAGAATCAGACGGTAATAAAATTAATCTGGTTGTGTGTGTTGTTGTTGTGTCCTGCAAACTTTGCTTTAATTCTACTACACTATAAAACATAATTCTGTATTTATAGAACATAAACAATTTGTCATTGTATCAACCTATAATTCTCAGTATGATTTTTCATTATTTATCTGTTCTGTAACTCAAGCTGTTACTGTCTCTAATCATCAATAATCATCACACAATCAAATTGTTACTGTCATTCAGATCACGAATACATATTTCAAATGTACATTACAGATTATTCCAACCATTACATATGTATGTTTTTATTAATCTTTAATCATCATTAAATCAATATGCAAGATTACTGTTATTTCTCAGGCCTTTATGCTCCGTTTTCTGCGTGTACCTGGAAAGATCTCACCACCTTATGCCAGTTTTCACGACACCCCCTCCTTGAGATCGGACGGTGCTTCGCAGAAAACACATAGTCCAACTAAAACAATTCTAATACATCATCACAATGGATAGTTAAGATGTCCCTTTCGTACCAAGTCACGGGAGAAGATGACGGTGTCCACGTGTCCACGACTTCATACTCCGTCAGGTGTGATGGTGGGGAAATCCAGGCGTCCGCGTCCAGCTCATCCTCTACTGTGGAACTGCACAGCTCAGAGAGATCGTGGCGCTCCAGCTGAGGTGGTGGAGTTGGAGCGGACTCATCCACCTCCAAATCCTGCTGTGGGGCGGCTGGGAAGTCACAACACGCCTCCAATTCTTCAAGCAGGTCCTGGAAATCCTTAGCAAACGAAGGAGACTGCATCTGGCAAATGCAGGTGACGGTGGAGCTCGTTTGGCTACTCTGATCCTTGTGTGATGGGAGAGGTGCATCATCAGTCTGGCACGCTTGGTGAGATGAACTGAGAAACTCAGCTTGGGTACTCTGTTCGTGAGTTGCAATGCTGGCCTGGCATCCGACGTCGACGACATATCCGAAGATGCCGGGCAAACTGGTGGAATGGAGTCACCCACTGCCACTACTTTGCCATCCAAAAGATGCAGAGTAAGAAGGCACTGGCGGGTAATCTGATTTACCCAAAGCTTTTGGACTATGGGTAACATCCGGCCATCTTCTAAAGGCGACGTTTGAAGCGCGTCGTCGTCCTGGCCCAACGCAGAGGTCCACACAACTTTGTGGTCCCGTTCCAGGGATCTAGATGTGGAAGCCGCAATGTAAGGCAGATCCTCTCGTCCATGAAGGCAGAGGATTGCCGTTACATCACCAAGGTGCACGCAATCGTGACACCAGCGGGCAGACGATGCAACCCATATGAACCCAGAGGATTCTGCGGTCGTTCCACATCCCACACAGCAAATCGGTGCCTGAAGAGAAACAGCAACCTAGGTAACTTCATGATTAGTAGGTATTGATAGATACTCAGATAAGTAAAAATGGCTTAGAAGCGAAAGCAGGAGCATAGAAGGTGAGCTGGTTTAAACTCGTGTGCCTCTTTGAGCTGCGAGCCATGGGGCAAGCCATGGGGAATTTATCACAGGGGAAACATTCTCGGATACTGGCGAATCCGAATTCTGCACATGAAACGAATCGTGAAATATCGCCGCGTGGGTCATAAGCCACATGACGATAGGCAGGGTAGACGTCTTCTTCATCCAGTAAAGGATCACAAAAACTCCCCACCCTGTAGCCCAGAGGGCTAGGATTGCCCATCTACGAAGCCAGCGACGTCTGCCTTGGCCCTTGATGGAAAAGGCCTGGCGGGCCAGATAGGTGAGGATGGACACCGCCAGAAGACCTTCGACGATAGCGGTGAGCAACTTGAGTGGTGCAGCCCGGGTATCGTGGGTTCCTCCGCAGACCAACTCCATTATTAGGGCTGTCGTGTCGATGGTGATCCAAAGGCATGCCACGATGCCTCTGCGCCAGTTGATGCGGGTCCTACCCATCAGATAACAGGCAAAACGGGAGGGAGCACAATCCCATCTTCGCAGAAGGATGGGTCGCAGAATGATCTTTGCATACCCTTGGAGGGCAACGAGCACTCTTAGGGGTTGCCCAGCGGACCAGGACCTGGTGTGGCAGTAGACTACCCAGGCAAGGATGAAACCGACTTGTTCAAGGGTACTCACTTGAATGGGTTCAAAGAGTGGAGTGGTAGCAGAGGAGTTGGTCGAAGAATTAGTTGTCATGATATCCCCAGTTGGTTCTTGCTTTGGGTTAGATCTTGATAGCAGCTCTGAAGAACGGTGTAGGGCTCGTTGGCACACAGCAGCTCCTTTTTATGCAGAATCAGGCTCCTCCTTTGGAGGGAGGGGCTGGTAATCCCTCCCCTTGCAACGACAAAGTGCTTTTAACCACGCCTCTAAGATAACCTTGCCCAGAATTAAGGCAATTGCTACGCCCAGGATGCCCAACAAATATGGCCACAACATGCTTAGCGCATTAAGCAGCCAATGCTCTATAATGGTGAGTCCTTCACCTACTACGTTAGTGACCTCCTCTATTACGTCTGTGACAATAGTGACCAGTGTTGAGCCCAGAGTCTCGTACCAGTAACAGTCATGTTGATGTTGTCCTTTTCCACATTTCTGCCACACTTCCTTAGAGATGTTGCAGGTGAGGTTGGAATATAGAAGGTTAGGGCCAACCCAGTCAAGCCCGGGGTCCACCTCTCCATCACACAGACTTTTTCGGAATGCATGGCCTTCTGCAATGGCTATGAGGGTGTCAGGGATGAAAGGAACGGGGTGATTGAGAATACTTCCTCATGCGTGTAGCGGTCCTCTCCTTGTCTTGCAGCTCTGTAGCTCCTTTCTCTTCGTCTCACGATCTTTCTGGTCCTTGGAGATGTAGATGAGCTGGTCTCATGGAAGGAACACACCAGTTCTTCCTCTTTGCCTTTGTCTTTATCTTCATCTTTGCCTTGGTCTTTTTCAGTTTCTCTGATTTAGCATTCACTTTGAGTGTCCCAAGCCCAGCTGATGAGAGAAATGCAATTTGAAGCCACATGTTGCGGGGCTAACGGGTTGGTCCCGCAACATGTGGGACCACTCCATTCCAGCTCTTCTTCAGCTGCAGAGTTCTTTGTCCATCTCGATCTTGGCTCAAAGCTGCCTGAAGGATCCAACCAAAGACTCCTCTTTTGCACTCACCTTAAAAAGAGTTTATCCACCCTTTTAGTGCATTTGCATTGGCTAGCTTTGTTGCTGTGCCTGTCTCATTGGCTGACTGCTTGGACCGATGATCTCATATCCATCACTGTCTTGGAGACATGATGTCTGTTCTAATGTCCCAAGTTGCTCAACAGTCCTCTTGTGTCTAACCTTTTCTTAGGAAAGTTCAGTGTTGTGGTACTCGAGATCGGTCTTGGTCTCGATACCGGTCTTAAGACCGTTTTCTGATGGTCTCGGTCTTGTCTCGGTCTCGGGCGCTGAGGACTCGGCATTTTATTTCAAGACCAGTCGAGACCGCAACTGTGAAAATATCACTAAACGTGCAGCATACTGTCCACTTTATTTGTTAACATCTTTGTTTTCAGTGGATGCAAAACGCACCGATTAAAATCCAAGCAACTACGTGTTTCTGTTACTCTCTCCCACCCCTCCCCCTCCCCACCTTTCACTC